TTCGCTTGTCCTTGATATAATTATTATATTTTAGATGTTTATTTTCTGTTCATATTTATATTTGATTATAGACCTTTTTTAATTCATTTATCTTCACTGTGAACACTCCATCGCATTTGAGATATTCCGCGAAATCTTTTTTCTGTGTAATCTGCAATTACCAGACTTCCTTATTCCATCCGAGGTCTTCTAAACATTTATTGTATCCATCCTATTTCCATTTAAACTTCGCCGCCTCTTCGATAAATGTGTGTTACTTTTGGTTAAATTCTGATCCTTACATATATGTTTAGAGATCGCGGCTATAGAGATATATGCTGCATCTGGTTTTCTATAGCACTTTGACATTTTTACTCTCTGTCCAAATTTGCCTTCGTATGTTCTTGTTTGTGTTTTATATATAAGATCAGGCAAGATACACGAGTTAAACATGTTGGTTGCCAAATACCCCATTCTAATCCATCTACTTGTTTGCCTTATTTAGTTTTATTCACTTGCCTTGAAAGCTTGACCTAGATACTGATATTGAATTATTAGGTACCAAAATTTTATGACACCATGTTTATTTTTGTTTGTTAAAATTTGTTTATCAGTGTTTAAGTGAAAATTCTAGAAATATAAATCAAATTTATTATAATTAAAATTTTATGAAAAAAATTTTCAGAAATTTATTTTTATTAAAATTTACGTTTCTTTGAAATTATAAGCAAATCTAGTGTATTTCTATTATTTATCGATTATATTCTTAGAAAACGCTAATTTTACATTATTTTACCCTGCTTCCTGCTGAAGATAAAAAACTATGAATAATGAATTTCTTCGTATAGATTATAGAATGGATATAACATTTTGGCCGTTCAGTAGATTGATTTACGTATCCATTTTAAGTATGCATAAAGCTAGATCTACAAGCCGATAAGAGTCTCAGTTTTTTGAAGATTTTCTTGGTTTCAAAATAGGTAGGGTAATATAAATATGTCAATCACTGGATGAAACCCTACCACGCTATAGACTATTATAAATGTCCAACCTGAGCAGGTATATCTGCAGTTGACAAGTTAGTCAACAAATTAAGAAATGTTGCATTTTTTTCAAATTTTCCACACATTTGGTTTTTTTTTTTATAAATTGTGAAATGTTGCATTAATATTCTATTTTCAATCCCAAAGGTTCAATCACAGCTTATACAATACAGCTCCACAACTCCGTGTCGGCGTCTTTGATCTGGCGGTCGAGAACCAAGCAAGACGAAATGGTGCTATCTCTGTTAGATTCAAGGGAAAAGTCGGGCCCGGATTAAACAATTTTTTTATTATTGAAAAAATTGAAAACCTTGGCGTAATAAGGTTGGTCACATGCCATATTAAGTAAGTTTTGGGAAATTACATTTTTAATTTGTTTTAAATCTTTCAAATATAATTAAAAAAATTATTTAAATATAAATATTACGAAAAATAGCACATCTTTCGGATTAGAGGTAAAATAATTTAAATATGGCTAGTAAAATCCTCGTTAACAAATTTTTTGAGCTAAAACAGTCACTTCACGACAAATTGTGGCTTGGATCCATTTTACACCAAGGGCTTCAATTGTTAAAGAATTGTGTCACGCTCGTGGATGCAAATCAAGTGGTACCCCCGTGTCTCTGGCAAGTATTACTCTTCGCGCAAAGGGTTTATACCTAGATAAACGAATGCTTCGACTGAGGTCTGGGAACTCTATGGTATTTTGGAATTATAAAGAATGTGTGCTTTTGTTTTAACAATATTGGTTATATTTAGATGTATTCTTATTGTTTGAAATACAGATTTGTAGAAGTTATACTTTGACAGTTTTTATTAATATAATATATTCAATTTTTATCTGACCATACCGAAGTAGGAAATTTTAAAACTTTATAGTAATGTGAAATTTGAATTACAATATTACAAGATATAACATAATTAGTACTTATTTTAGGTAGGTACTAAATTTGTACTTGGAGAAAGTAATATCGATTTTTACAAGAAAACTTGAAAAATTAATTTAATTCCTATTTCTGATGTAAAACTTAAACCAAGAAAACAAATAAATTGTAGTTTGTTCAACAAGGGTGGATATGATAGCCATATCACACAAAGACGAAGTTTGAGCACGACGTCGTAGGCGGAGAACTCAATCGTCTGATTGTGATATGAACAATCTACTCGATATGGTCAGTATATTTTTTCTACGACCCACTAACGAAAATCTACAAATTTAAAAAATTATTTTAGGTTATTTAGACAAAATAAATAATTTTAAAATAATTTACGAAGTTGACTAATTTATAAAATAAAATAAACATGAAAAATTAATTAGTCCTCGGCCTAGATTCGATCCCGGACTTTTCGCGTGGAAAGCAGATGCTCTGTCTTCATCTTCACCGAAACTTTCAGGACTTTAGTTTTAATACTCGTAATTAAATTAGTATCATGTAGTTTAATTAAAATTTATTTTTTTTTAAATGTGGACAAAATAGAAACAAAAATGCTATTATTTATCGAGTCTGCACAAAAATTTTAATGTATATTTAATATCAATAACTAAAATATATATTGACAATTAGTTTAACAGAATTGTCACTTATTTAAAAAATTTTAAATAATAGGAGTTGGGTGACCAAAATATGAACTGTGATTTGTAGATTTAATTTTGTTAAAGTGTTCTTACTACCTAAAATGGATATGAAATATATTCGTAGTTGAACACAATAACATACTTTTTCGTTTTGTAGTATGTGCGTAGATTGGCTAATATCCATGCACAGATTACAAAACGAAAAAGTATGCTATTGCCTTCAATTGAACGAATATATTTCATATCCATTCTAGGTAGTGAGAACACTGCAAAAAAAATAAATTCGCCAATCACCGTTCATATTTTGATCAACCGACAGCTATTATTTTTAAAATTTTAAATAAATGACAATTTTTTTTTTTATTTAAAACTTTCTTGCGTGTCTACAACAAAATAATGAATAATAACGCACTAATGGGACACCCTGTATAAATTATATTTTTAACAATGAAAATTTCTTATGATATGGTACTTATCGGTTTGGGTCCTTGGGAAAACTAAAGAATGTTTTCTTGCAGGTATAACCCTTATTAAAACAGCTTTTGACTGCACAAACAGAATGATGTCTTTTTTTTCATTCATTCTACTCACAGCTAAAGAGTCACCAAAATAATAACAGTACCTTTAACTCAAACAAAATCTACGAAATTATAGGCTCCACGAAATTATACAATCAACGAAATTATACGCACGACTCAACACCTTACCTAAGTACACTTCTGAACGCCAAAACCGTGTTTTCCCTTCGAAGGCGGAGCTTAAGCGATGCGCGACGAAATCGACGCAAACCGTTGCCGCCAAGAGAGTGTTTTAGCTGTATTGTTAAGTTGTGGTTCAATTCCAAATAAAGTATCAGTCGTAAACTCAACGGGTAGTTATAATCCATTTCTTAAGAAAAATATTTAAACTGATACGAGGGAGATGCATTAATTCCTTCAGGACTAGAAGGAATTGTGCACATTTTGATGATTTTTATGCATTATTGATAATGAGTCTGGAGAAGATGGATGGATTCGTTTGGATTTAGGTGACTTTGTTATTGTAAAAGTGTATGATGTTAAAGGAAATGCGAAGGGTTTTGGGCAAATAGATGTTATCACCGGTTGTACAATTGGCTGTGATAGAAGAAATGGTTAATTAGTATATTTCTGAGATTGACTCGATAAAGAGTTATTAGATGTAACAGAAGTTACCTTAGGGAAGTGAAGGATACTTTCTTTAATTGATAGATATGATTAAGACATAAATTTTTTTTGGCGGTCAAATTCTGGACATTATTCCCAATCACTTGTAAAGTCTTCACCTTCAAATGCAAAACATTTTCCAATAATTTATAATTTAGAACACTGATCTGTAGAATTTTGATGTTTAATTATGATATAAACTTGTTGAATAGCATGTTTAAAAAGGTTTTCTCTTATATTTTGTCTACTGACTTTAAATGAAAACTATTGTTTACTGCAATTTGTTTAATATTTCATTCTTTGGTTGGGTTATTTTTGATAAGCGGGATATTAACTAATCTATGGATAACACTGTTGTAAGATGCTAACTTCTCTTAATTTGGATGAGATTTATTGTAATATAAGTATGTGATGACTTATAAAATACCCCAAAACTATAAGCTTTATTAATTTTAATAATGTTTAAGTCTAAAAAATGTATTATATTATTCGTTCCCTGCTTTGATTACTCAGAACTTTATTTTTAACTTTAATACGGAATTCCGTAGCATTTAAGAAAAAGGTTTATAATACCTTAATTTAACACACAACAGATTTTCTATGCCACTTGGATATTCATGAATTTATCAGCTCAGAGTACACGCACCATCATCTGCAGGCGCTTAGATCATTGCGCACTCAAATTTCAAGTCTCTTGCTACATTTATCGACCTGTATTTATTTGAAAATATAGACAAATATCTTCTAGAATTCTATTGTTTATCGATTCTTTACAATATATCTCATTTTAATTTATATTTAATCACTAAAGATTATGTATTAACAAGTAGTTTGACTGAATTGTTACTCATAACAGCTGATAACCGGCAAAAAAAACATTGTGATTATCCTACTATAGTTATTTATACAATGGCATTACTATCATTAATATTTGGCACATATTTATTGTCCCATTTTATTTTTTTTTTGTTTGTTAATAACTGGTATATTTTTTAACACATTACTTACTGCTAAATATAGAAGAGCTAATTATCTCGCACTCTACATCTATAAAACAGAAAGAAATACAGAAAAAAAAGACATTTTTATAAAAAACACATGTATTTTTTAACAAGATGTAACAAAAAAAACAGAAAATCAACAACAATAATTAAAAAAAAATGACTAAGATGAGAGGTGAGGGAAATGAAAATGTATTATCAGTCTTGAGTCTTCCACTTAATGTTTGCTATGGTGGTATATAACCTTGTACACTGGTACTTTGACGGGTACTGGCCTGGGGATCTTGATTGGAATATGTTTTTCTACTGGAACAGGTACTGGTTTTTCAACATGGTAAGCTACTTCCTTTTCGACTTTGTAAGGTACAGGTTTCTCAACAGGAATGGTGATGGTTTTGATCACAGGTACAGCAACGGGTTGGGGTACCTTAATGTGGACAGGGTAGGGTTGAGGAACAGGTACAGCTACTGGTTTAGGAATTGGTACGGGAATAGTATGAGGAATTGGTACTGCTTCGTGTTTGTAGACGGGAATCGGAACATGCTTCGTTATTTCAACAGTGTGAGAAATGTCGTGGTGACCTCCACCGTCACCACCATAGCCTTCGTGTCCTCCGTAACTGCCTGAATATCCAGCATTTACGGTTGCGATAGCCACCAAGAGTGATATACAAAACTGAAACAAAAAGGAAATATTATTAACCTAAATAATAAAGATTTTTATAATTTTATTATTCTTTAGTAATTTCTAATATTAAGATTTCAAAAGTTTTATATGTTTTGGTTTCTTTAGCCATTAGATGAGATAAAAATAATATATTACTTAGACTATGATCAGTACAAGAAATGCAACAGGAATGACTTTATAGAAAGAATAAGATAAAGAATTATACAAATTTATGAGACATGAACTAAAAAGTTACTGAAAAAAATAAGAATCACTCTCCAAAACAGACTGAATTCTACAGAAAATTGAAAAAAGAAATGGAAAAACGAGTAAACCAAGGCGAAACAAAAATACATTAAAGGTTTCCCAAAGATCTTCGTACAGGGGAACTAACAAGTCCAACAAAAAATGTGGAACAAAAGAAATAACCGGAAACAATAAAAAAAAGAGAAAATATTGAGGAAATATGACTTGAAACAGGCGATCTTATAAATCTGCTAAAACAAATATCAAATGAGTTTAATATTGATTTTTCTAACATAGGAGAAAAACTAGCTGTTGAAATTAAAAAACCTAACACTCCAAAACTTAATAGGTATTATTATTCTTAGAGCCAAAGCAATTTCTCAGCTGGCATGGATGTTTTAGATCGTACATGCACAAAATTGGTCTCAGATACGAGTATGTCTATTGCAATGAAGAGGTATACGATCCCGAGTACACCATTTTTCGGTCGGTGTTGCAGATGAAGCAACGAAAGGTCAGTCCTAGTTTTCAACATAAAGGAAATAAGACCAAACGAATTGGTAAATTACATGCTAGACGTAGAGAAAAAATAGAGAAATGGACATCGCTTTATTATTAAAATTCTTAACCAAAAAGAGATAGGATAGGAAGGCCCAAGAGCTTAAGAAAGGTAGTGGGCTCTCCCGATGTTATACCGCTAAGGTAGTCCCGGAAGAGGTATCGGCTACCAGAAGGTGGTTTTTAGTGGGTAGTAAATTTCTATAGTCCTACACTACCCCTGAACAAGGTAAAAGCAGTTTCCACAAAAAAGGATTTTGACAGGATTGACCACAAAATATTAAAGGATAAGTTCAAAATTTTTGGATTTAGTGCTTGTTTCATTACATCAATAAAATGATATTTATATTGCTTAGAACGATTTCTATTCTAGAATGTACTGCCCTACATCGGGTGTGCCTCAAGGGTCTAATTTGTGACCCTTGCTGTTTTTATTATGTATTAATAATCTTTCTACATCATTATTATTATTATTTGCTGATGATTTGAAAATTTACTCAAATGTGATTTCTCAATTACATAGTTTATTTCTTTAAACAATATTTAATAAAATCTCTGATTAAAGTAGAAGTAACAATTGTGATAAATTAAAATTTGTACATTCAGTCGCATGCTCCAAACTAATTTTGCATAATTATCAGATAAATAACATATCTTTATCAAGGGTTATACAGCTACGAGATCTCGGAGTTATTGATTCTGAAGATCATGTTAATAATATAGTTTCTCAGTTTTATAAAACTTTAGGGTTTATTATAAGTAATTGTAGAACTTTCTGTCACCAAATTGCTCTAAAAATACTATTTTTGCGCTCATATAATCAAAACTTGTTTGGGATCCACATTAGAAGTTCAACTCAACTCTAGGAGTCTTGATAAAAATTTTTCCTACTAGAGGTATTGCCCAATCTATTCTTGTGCATCGTTTCAATGTCTATCCTGTATAAATTAGTACAACATTCTATTGATTCCACAAATCTTCTTCATCAAGTAGTTTTTTGCGTTCCTAGAATTAACTCTAGAAATAATATTCTTTCTAACTCACTACTTCACAGAATGTGCAACAACTTTAATCATGTGGCAAACTTACTAACATTAATTTTAGATAAGTGTATATTCTTGCACTACCTTTAGAGATTATTGGGTCGCTCATAGCATAGACCTTAAGGTCGTCCATGTAAAGCAGATGTGTGACTTTGTGTGTGCGATTCCCAGATGTGCGACATTATTATTTAAAGAAAGAGCAAGAATAGGATAAACATACTAGTCTTTCAATAATCTTTTTAAACATTAATTAGTCAAACTCTAAACAATTGGTTAAATTACACCAATATTAAAAAGATAAAATATTATTGGAATAATTAATACAAATTTAACCAACCAAAACATCGCCATTACATTTATTGCATTTGATAAATAATGTTTAACGAAAACACAATAATAGACCAATCCGTATTGATTTTACTATTATATATTGTACACCTACACATTAAATTACTAAATTAGGCATTGAATTAGAAGATCAATAATCAATGTAATGAAAATATAATAGAACACGAATATTCAAATTACATAGTACACAAACTGTAATTTTTATAATTACATCGTATTTGTGGCGTTTTGTAAAGTTATTAACGAGTTAATAAGTGGAATTCATAAAAAGTACATGATATTTATCATTTGAATAAAGAAACATGCCTATAGGCTAAATAGGTGAAAGTTTTATGACATTCTGTATCAAAGATCAGAAGGCGAGGTGGATAGATAATGTTAGAAATGAAGAATGTGAAGATGAAAGTTAATTAATTACTGAAATTAATTCACGTCTAACAGATGACGATATTAAGTTTCTATTTATCAATTTAAATGGATAACATTCTATATTTTTTGATGTAAAATTTAAAATGTACAAATCTCATTAAAAGTGGCTTTTAAAGAGAAAACTGCAGGTATTTTTATAAGTAAAATAAATAGAAAATTACTCGGAGTAACTAAAATATTAATGTGCAAACTCATTTAAAATAAATACGCTACGGTTTCCTGTTTTAAAGTTGCAATTGTAGACAACCTCATACATATTTTATAACACTCTCAAAGATCTAGAATCAAGCTAAGGTTGTACAGCAGCAAGCTTGTCGAAATAATTAATTCTTATTAAAGTTGGAACAGTTAACAAACTGCTCTTCATTTCTACCTCGAACATAGGCGTACGTGCAGTTTTAGAGCAATTACATTAGGGTCGTATCAAATAATCAAAAGTTATATATTCAAATTAACGGTGATATTGTTACAAATGTATCAAATTTGATGAAAAAGTATCAACATTTATGTCTTTATTTTGTTAATATTTAAAAATATATCTTTTGATGTATCAAATCTGCCTTAAATTCTTTTAAAAATCCCCAAGTTAGTGATACAAAGAGCGCTATTAATAACCTATTATTTTAATAAATAGGATTATTTGGAGAAAACAAGACAGCAAAGAACAAAAACAGTCTAGTGGGATAAACACTTGAAATGCCTTAGAGGTGAAGTGTGAAGGCTATTTACTAAATCAACCAAAGACTGAGCTCTATATAGAGCTAAACTCACCCAGTAAAACATGGAGCTAAGGAAGGCCAAAAGACAGTTCTGAAACACCCACATGCTCTAGAATCCACAGAGTATTAGCTAAAGATGGTACTGTAAATCAGGTAGGAATTCTCAGGAAAGATGATGAAATCTATACAAAAACCTTAGAAATGCTTACAGAAGTAGACTTTCTGGCCACAGAAATTTTGTTATACCCGATATTCGCTAACAGCCCTCAAAGAAGGTCAGGTAGGCCACCTCCTTTGGAATGGAGGCTAGCTACAGAAATATTGAGGTTACAAACAAATTTTCGCCATACAGATCCTCAGGAGTAGATGGAATACATCCTATTTTACGAGAAAAGGGATAGGAAACTTTAATTTTACACTTGGATCGCATATTTAAAGCATCTATTGCTTGGCGACACATACCAGAGACGTGGGAAAAGGTGAAAGATAAAAAAAAATTATGGATTACAACAAACAATGTCCTTCTGGCTATATATTAGAGTCATAAGGCGCTTGCTAGCTTACGGGTCGGTAGTATGGTGGCCAAAGACTCGGGAAACTGAATATATCTGACTGCTCAATGGTATTCAAAGGCAAATATGCCTGAGTACTACAGGAGCCATGAGAATAACTCATAGAAGTCATGCTAAATCTAACACTACTTCATTTATTCAAGGCACAGCCAGGTCTGTCTCGTACAGGCTGCATAAAAGTTCGTCTACCATAAGCAGTTTGTATGGACCAAATAAAGGGAATCCCTTCAGACAAAATGCTACCAAAGTATAGTTTTCAGAAGCAATCTAAAGTAAGTATACTAGACAGGAAAGCGTGGAATTCACCTGGTATACAAACGGCTCTAAAATCTATGAATGGTGAGGAGTACCAAGCCAAAGACAGGAATCTCACTGAGCTTACCTAAACATGCGATAGTATTTTCGGCAGAAATAGCAAGAGGTATTGAGACATAAGAGAAACCATTGTCATGTACTCTGACAGTCAAACGACATTAAAAGAACTCAGTTCTATGCAGGTACACTCAAAGCTTATGTAAGACTATTTTAAAGCCCTAATAAAGCTGGCTACTCAAAACAGTCTAACCTTAGGAAAACATGGGCAACGAAGAGTTTGATTTACTAGCCCGAGAAAGAACCTTATAGGCTCTTATTGGTCCAGAACCCTTCTATGATGTCACGAAGAAAGCTATCAGAACATGCGTAAAGCAGTAGAAGATAAAAAAAAAATTCAGGAATGGTAGAAATATTCACTAGGACAGACAGGTCAAAGATTTCTTAAAAGGACTTTTGCTGAAACTCACTGAGCATCTATTAGGTTTTAATAGGAAAAATATTAGAGTACTAGTAGGTCTATTAACAGGGCAATGTAAGCTTAACAAACATATGTATTGTGCTATTGTGAAGGTCTGTCAAGACTGAGATTCCTTAGACTTGGAGATGAAAAACCAAAAACCATTTCCTCATCTATGGACTGCTACAAAAGGACGAATTAGAGATGGTATTCTAATCAGCGATTAAGGGATATCCAAAGTAGATCTGAGAAGCTCGAGGTGGCCCGAGGGCCTAATTAAATATAATCTAGGATTAAAATTATTTGCCCTGTAAATCTAGAA